TTTTTGAAAAGCACAATTTTAAAGTATTAAATGTATTTTTTATCTTATTTAAGTTATTTTCTTATGCAACGAAGGTAAGCCTATTATAATTTCAGCTATAGAAAGAGTTTAAAAATGCTGAATTTTATGAGAATAAATATAAATAAAGAGACAACAAACTAAAAAATATTCGTTTCAACAAATCATAAACATAATTAAAATTTTAATTCTTATAAATTACTACTACGCTCGAGTATAATGAATTGTCGCTTCTGGACGACCATAAGAAGTCCTATGGGTGATGTAAGTCTTTAAATTATGTCATGTCCATATATCAATTTCTGCACAGATTGAGCCATGTAATACCATGGAAAAAAGGGATACATATAGTTTAATAGTGACATAGTAGAGTTGACTGACTCATAAGAGGTCTGAGGTTCAATGCTGGCTTTCGCCAGTGAACAAGTGAGGGCATTGAAAAGGAAGGCAAAAACTTTATAGTTATTTTCACTTTCAAGGTGCTCTTTACTAAGACCGTATTCTTAGAGCTTCTTAATAATTATATTTGAAAAAAATGATTTAACAAACGAAAACATTTATCCTTGAGTTTTAATCAGCCTATCCTGAAGATATTGTTACTGAGATAATGTAAGAATATGTGTTCATCTGCTTCAAATTTTGTTACCGAGATAGTGTAAGAATATTTGTTCATTTGCTGCAAAAGCTCGTCTTATAGTATTATTATCGTTGCTTGTTTCAGAACCACCACATTAAAAAAAATTAACAACAAGTCCTATTTTGTTCATAAAGTCTCAAACTTCTTTTTAGTCACAAATAACCTTTCTACGTGCTCCGTTGATTCTTGCTTGCCACTTTTTTGTTTCTTTTTATAATCAATATGCACAGTCCTTTCAAATAATTGTATCCAGACATGGAGACTGGAAACCCATACCTCAATTTTATGTGAGTATAATCTATATTAGAAATATCAAGATTATTCATATTTTTTGAAGAGAACTACACAGAGATAATCATTAAATACAAGTAAGTTGTTCTAGATAATATGTTTTAGACCTATCCCATCAACCAAATTTATCAACCAAATTAAATCAATTATTATTTTCACTTCATAAGGAGAAAAGTAAATTATTATACTCAAGCATTTAATCCACTTTTAATGTAATCATTTTCTTCGAGCACAGACTAAAAGTATGTTATTGTTATTCAAATTGGGCGATGCAAAAAACTTAATTCATTTTAAATTTTGAAATATGATTTGAAGTAATAATAAGAAAAAAAGATTTTTAGTAATAATTACATAAATTAAGAAGACTAACAATAAAACTGATTTTGTCTTCTCCTTTCACCAGCTGCGCAGTGGCAAAGTAAGAATTCATGGAGCCCGGGGCTATTTTTGTTTTTAGAGACTTTTGTATGGGCCAGAGCCTAAAAATGACCCCTAAATTTGCGGGGCCTGGGGCTATAGTCTCCCCTAGCCCCCCTGCTTGATCCGGCACTGCGTATTAATACGTAATCACTGCGTAATAATATAATATAATAAAAAATAATAATATATTATTATTTTTTTTAAGTCCAATTTTGAAAACTTTTTCTATAGCAAAATACCAAATCTTTTCATCCATGGAAATAAAATAGTTTGGTATTCCACCATAGAGAAAAATTTACGAAAATAGGCATAAAAAAAAAATTTGTCTGAAGACCAACTTTTTTTTTTTTTTTCATCCAAACTGAACTTTGAATATACAATGTCTAATAACTCTGCTATTTATTCTGCATTCATGAGGTATTGATTGCATCTGCTATCTATCGCAGTATTCGTGGATTGAGCTGTTTCAATAAATGTATGGTATTACCTCTTTCAAAGTTGTTATATTTGGTAGCAGGTACGCAATGTACACCTTTTCACTCTACAGGAAAACGTTTTAGCGATTTAGGAGATTATATAACTCAAAATTCGAAATGCTGAAGTGGCAATAAATGCCACTTCAGCATTTCAAAACAGTGGCAGATCTGTTTGGCAAATCAAGTTTCACAAATAAAATTTATCACATTGATTTCTTTATTAGTTATCAGTCTATTCATTCTTGTTCCATAATACCTGACATTCTGAAAAAGTTGAGCGACTAATCTTTTTGAAAACTTCATCGTGGTCATTTGTTGCAGCATCACAAGTAGTTACTAAATTCATCGAGTGGCATGCACTTCACTGATAAGGGTATTCAAGCTTTGATATTGAAGTAAGTTTAGGAAAAATGTCTTTGACACACAAACTCCATTTGTTTTAACTAACTATTGTGAAAACAAATGAAATAATTTTTAAAAGTTTCATCCATTATCATTTATAGTCTTTGTAACTTTGTCTTGAACGTCAAATTCTTAGTTAAATTCTGTTTTAGGGTAATTGTTAATACGTTGTAGATATAAGAATAACCCCACTACCTCTACTTTACCAGTCATCTTTAATTCACTCTTTGATTTGTTCCTGTGTTACACTCAACACCATAAGTAAATAGCTACAATACATTTTGATTTTTTAAGGACAAATCTTTATATAATCTCCCATACAAAATAAAAATCATTTTTCATCTCCTATATAAAATGAAATTTGATTACTAAAATTGTACTCATTACAATTCATATGTCTTGCTTATTAGAGTCATAAAACCTTGCATTGCTTGTTTAAGTTATCTATGCAATAGCAGTTTACTTTGTAGAAGCCAGGAAAGAGGTAAAACATGTGGTAAAAAGAATCATAATATTACTGCTGTATATTTTATGAATGTTGTTTAACTTTTATACATCCAATACTTATATTTAATTGTAAAGAATTTGTTTAATCTCTAACATATTCACGTTTGTTTTCTTACGTATTTAATTGAGTTGAATTATTCAACTATTTAATTGCATATTTTTTTTAAACCAAAATCATAATAACCTACCTCTTACATCACTAACTTTTTAAAGTTAGTGAAAACTATCATTATGTTCTACAATCTGCTTGCATACTTATGTGTTCTGCACCTAAATATCGAACTGTTAATTACGGTTATGAATCTAATTAATATACATAGGGTATGGCAAACAATAAACTTTTTTCTAAAAGTTCAAGTTAACGAGTGTTTTCCAAAGCAAAGTTTGACGCAGAATTCATTTTTTTTTTTTCAAGATGGCTGCCAAATTGGCAATGCCTCAA